AAAAAAAAAAAAAAAAAAAAAAAAAAAAGAAAAGAAATCTATGACAGAAAAACTTTGGAAAAGGCAAAAGCTCCTGAAAAACTAACATATACTAATAAACAAGCAGTGGGTCACAGAAGAAATCAAAGAAGAAATTTAAAAACTTGTGGAAGTTAAAAATAATAGTATGACTCTGGAAAACTATAAAAGTAGATGTAAGATGAAAGTTCATCACAATCAGCGCTCATATTAGGAAAACAGACCAAGCCCAAATAAGTAACCTTATTAGAAATCTTAATATACTTGAGAATAAACCACAAACCAGCCACAAACCAAAATTAAGGAGGGAAATGATAAAGATCAGAGCAGAAATGAATGAAATTGAAACTTAAAAAAAAAAAATCGATGAATTGAAAAGCTGGTTCTTGAAAGAATAAATAAAATAGGTAAACCCCTAGCCAGGTTTACCGAAAGAGAGAAAAGATTCACATCAGCAAATTAGAAATGAAAAAGATGAAATCACAACAAACACTGTGGAAATCCAGAAGATAGTAACTACTTAAAAATTATATTCCAACAAATGAACAAATTTTGAAAAAATGGACAGATTCTTAGACACACACAAATTACCAAAACTAACCCAAGAAGACATAAGTATGCTTAACAACCCAATAATCAGTAATAAAATTGACATAGTAATAAAGAACCTACCAACTAAAAAAATCACAGGACCTGATGGGCTCATTACTAAATTCTACAGAACCTGTAAATAGTAATACATCTCATAAACAGAAGCAAGGCCAAAAACCATATAATCATATCAATAGATGCAGAAAAGACTTTCAACAAGTTCAACACCCCTTCCTGATAAAAACCCTGAAACAGGAATAGAAGGACCATACCTGAATATGATAAAAGATATATATGACTAACCAGTGGCCAGTATCTTACTAAATGGGGAAAAACTAAAAACATTTCCCCTAAAATATCAGACTAAAGAGCTTCAGTACAACAAAAAAATTCAATCAGTAAAGTGAAGAGACAACCCATAGAATGGGGAAAAAATTTGCCAGTTACTCCTCAGACAGATGACTAATATCTAGAATATACAAAGGACTCAAAGAAAATTAAACCATCTAAAAGTAAAGATCCAGTCAAGAAATGGGCAAGAAAAAATGAACAGACACTTCATAGAGGAAGAAAGACAAATGATTAACAAATATATGAAAAAGTGTTCAACATCTCTGGTCATTAGAGAAATGCAAATTGAAACTACCCTAAAATCCCATCTTACTTCCCAAAGAATGGCTCATTCTTTGTTAAGAACTCAAACAGTAACAAATGCTGGTGAGGCTGTGGGGAAAAAGGAACTCTCCTTCACTGTTGCTGGGATGCAAACTAGTACAATTATTATGGAAATCAGTATGGAGATTTCTCACAGAACTGCAATTAGAAATTCCATACGATCCAGCAGTCCCCCTGCTAGGTATCTTCCCCATAGAGCTTAAAATATAATACTGTAGTGATCCATGCATGTCCATGTTTATAGCACAATTCATAACAGCTAAATCCTGGAAGCAGCCATCAATGACGATTACATAACGAAAATGTGGTATGTATATATAATGGAATACTGCTCGGCTATAAAATGACAGATTTGAGACATTTGTAGGGAAATGGATGCACTTGGAGAATACATTATTGAGTGGAATAATCCAGACACCCCAGCTTAAATACCGTATGGTAGCTCCCATTTGAGTGAGGTAAAGTACAAACCAAGAGAATAATAAAGGATTGGTAGAGGGGGACAGGGGAACGGATCTCTTGCAGGAGGGAAGAGTTCCAAGGGAACAAGGGCAAGGATTGAGGGGGAAGGGAGGGGAAATGAGAATAAAATATGCTATGTATAGGAACCCAATAACCTCAATTAATGTAAGCATCATATATGATAACGTGAGCTAAGATTAATCATATCGATAAGAATGAAAACTGGGGTGGGGAAACTGGAGGAGGAGGGAAGGGGAAGGAGATTCAAAAAAAGAAATAAGCTGTAGTGTGTGTGACCATTCCCCTGAGGGGGTTCTAAGTGTCCTGTTCTGCAAATATGTACTAATAAAATAAACTTCTAAAAAACTTAGGGCACAAGGGGTTTCTTTTGAGGAGAATTGAAATACTTGAGTATTAGTGGTGATTGATTTTTTGATTACTGTGTAGACTTTGTGAGTCAGACTAAAACCCACTGGGCGTGAAGTCTACAAGCACAACCATGTGGTGTTCGGATCATACCTCAATCAGCTGTTGTTCAAGAGGGACTGCTTTCTAAAAGATTGTTACTATGGCTTTCCGTTGTTCTTTGGATAAAGCCCCAAATCCTTAACAAGGATAACTTAGAGCCAGGCCGTACACAATCAGGCTGGTTATCTCTCTGGTTTGTCTTTTCCCTCCTTGTACACCTGCACTTTTCCTTCTTCATGAGGAAACAGGATGCTTCTCTGTGCGTAACAAGAGCAGTCATGTAGGTAACCTGGGTGTGTGCACAGCAGCTCTTCTTAGCGCTGCAAATGCTCATGCTGAGGGCTTCTGAGCCTGCTGGCCTCTCTGCCAGGCACCTGCCCCTCTCCACTGTCCCCAGGTTAATATCTTCCTGCCCCCATTCGCAGTTCAGATGTTGTTTACTTTGGGCGCCTTCTGTGGCTGCCCAGACTGGCTCAGCCTGCTTCCCTGTGCTCCTATCATCTTTCCCTTCACAGAAAGCCCCAGAGCATTCACGTCCACTGATTTGCATGGTTACTGGATTTGTTTTAATTTGTTCTCTGCACCTTTCACCCCGTGAGTGCAGAGACCGTGTGTCTCCTGAGCTCAGCTTGGTGTGTGGATGGTGCAGCACTTCGTCCGTGTCGCTGAGGCGGTGAGTGAGGTGGCATCAGGCGCAGAGGCAGGGACCTCTGCCTGCTGTGTGCGCATCTGTCTGTGTTCAGAGTGCTGTAGGGTACACTGGTGTGTGTGGCTCTGTGCATATCGATATTTTCAATGACCCTGAACTCTGAGTGACCCGTCTTTCTATTTGGATTTAATTGCATGAGGCTTAATGTGACTATGGTAGAGGCATCCTCAGCCGTCATAGTAATTTAGGGCCCTGTGTCTGGCCTGGGGCAGCCCATGTCCTTGATTGTTTTCAGCATGTTGTCATTTTGTTCCTATTTAAGAGTGTGGCTCAGAGGTGCTGAATCAGTGTTTGGCTGGGCTTCCTGCTCCTTTTGTATCTTCGTCAACTGCCAGCGCGGATTGTGTTAAAGGGCATTGGGTCATGGTGACACACAAGCCAGCAGCCGTGCCCGTGGTGGTGTACCCTCTTGGTCCCCTGCCTGAGCAGTAGATACACAGTCTGTCACTGTAACACAGCAAGTGACCTGTGATGCCAGGAAGCTGCTTCCTGTAGCAGCGTTTACAAAGGCACATCAACGTAGTGCCCCCAACCCCGGAGAGCTTAACGGCACCAGGTCACAAAATCCCACCCTCTCCATCTTTCTCAGTGTAAATTGAGGAAGAGTCCCTGTGGTCATCAGTATCGCCCAGTTGTTTTTGCAGGCCCTAACCTAGTAGTAATGGATTGTGAAGACCAGTGTGTGGGTCATGACCAGCTCCTTTCAAAAAGGGTGAAAGGAAATAACATCAGACACCATCAGTGACAGCATGAACTATAATACACGTAGAGAAAGTACCTGTTCTTTTGTGATGCTTTTCTTTCAGTGCTTGTATGTGCCTGCTGAGTCAAAATAGAAAATGTATTTCTTTCTTGTAGTCAAAATACCTGATTACCCCAGCGTGGCAGCGTATCCTACTTTGACTTTCCAATGTCATTACCACCTCTGCTTTGCTTTTTCTTAAAGGTATGCAAAGTCCAGTCAGATCAAGACTGTGTCAAGCAGCAAGATATTTTTTAAAGGAAGTAGATTTCGATATAGGTGGGTATGGACGGTTCCACTGCGGCATTGGGTTTGGGTGAGGTCATTCACGTGGGAATGCTCTGCTTGGAAACAAGGCTGTGAGGCTCTTTGCCCTGCTTTAGCTACTTCTGCAGCCCCGCCATTCTCCTGTTTCCACTCCGTGAAGCCTGTGGCCCGGCAGCCTCCACCTCTGCAGTGACTTCCCCTGTGGAAGAAGGGGAGGTGTGGAGTGTAGCGCTGGCTCAGACCATGGTGAAGTTAAAAAGTTGACACGCGTGTACCCCTCCTTCTATGAATGTGCACATACGTTGTGTTTCTGTCTTTTTGTAGTGGCAAAGTTGCTAAAGAGGTGGTGGAGGCAAGCTCCAAAATCCAGAGGGAGCCTCCTGAGGTGCACAGGTGAGTGGGGTGGTCCCTTCCGGCTCGGATGGCTTCTGGGATAGACAGAGGGATTGAAGGGTGGCTTTCCTCGAGCGACAGGTACAGCTTGCTGGAGCACCTGCTTAGCGTATGAGGCCCTGTGTTTGAACACAACACCACAGACACACAAAAGCCTGACTTTTTCAGATCTTCTCAAATCCCCCCATGTGTAGTGACATCCAGCATTAGATACAGACACTCTCATCTCCCTGGAAGTCTCCTTCGGAGTTGCCCGGGCTGTATCATGAGCACCACCAGGCTTTCTTTTGAGTCGTGTGTGCTGCGGACAGCAATTAGGCCCAGGTGTCAGGGGAACCAGCAGTCTGTGCCATGTCCTGACCCAGCTCCATCGTCCCTCCCTCTTAGAACTGCCCCGTTTCCACCTTGTTCCTCCAGCGTGGCCAGTGCCCAGGGGCTTGACTCCTACCTAGGCTGTTTCACGCAGGGAAGAGGCTTGCTTGCTGTTGGGTCCTTTGCTGTCAAGGGCCACCTGGATGAATGACAGCTTTGGTCATCATCTGCATAAGGGCAGCATTTTTACTGAGGTGGCCATCTATATTTAATTCTTGGGAATTAAATATTATCTTGGCTAAGCTGGGCTTCACCACAGTTTATACTAAGCATTGCATGTCCCAAACTGCAAACATGCTGGGTATCCTAAAGCTGAACATTCTTACCATGACCCCTGCCCCTGTTAGGGAAGACCATCATAAGCTAAATTTCTACCAACTTGTTAGTTGGTACTTGTCCTTCCTTCCTATCTTTGGGACCCGGAGGTGTGTCCTTTATGCCTCGATTTGTCCTGTATCCATTTCAGCTAACCAGTTGATCCGGGTGCCACTCTTCCTTGTCCCCTGGGGTCGGGCAGAAGAGGCTGTGGTTCCACAGAAATGAGACCAGGCCAGCCTGACAGGGGCATCTGGATAGCACGTCTGTCGCAAAGAAGGGAGCTGATTACTGTTTGCCAGAGATTCCATGCAGGCATTTACGGGCTATAACTCCTGGAAGCCTTCGAGCCAGTCCCTCCTACTTTCAGGAGGAGACTGACGGGCTGGGGAAGCTGGATCCCGTGGAGCCCATGGCTGGAGGTACCTTGGCACAGCGCCTGAACACCTGAAGCCCTCCCTTCAGGGAAACTTTTTTAATGCCCCCTTGCCCTGCCCCAAATTGAGGTCATTCTGCAAAGTAGAAAGGAAAAAGAAATAATAAAACCCTCAGTGTGGTCCTTCCGGGGTACTTGGATTAGAAATAACCTTTCACTAGGGGATCACTTGATCTGTTGCTTCTACGTATTGCCAGAAAACTTGAATCTTAAACAAGTGACTTCCCCAGGTCTTAAGTAGTTTCAGTAGCAGACTTGAGCCTAGAACTCCAGTGTCCTGGGTCTGAGTCCTGAGTTCTTTTCTCTCCAGCACTCACCACCCTGAAAGCTTTAGGCATGTACTTACGGGCTGGTAATTGAAGCAGTGCTACCCCAAGTGGCTCAGCTTTGTTCTTTTTCCAGCTTGATGCTTTGATATTTGACCTTAAAAATAAAAAAAAGAAAGAAAAATAAGTGGTGCTGTGGGAGTTCTGTTTTTTAAACAATGTTTTTACAGAGACATATTCCAAAGCTATAAGACGAAGAGCCTCATAGTTATGTCCACGGGTTCATGAGAAAAGAAAAGAATTTAAAAGAATACAGTACTTTTCTTCTAAATTGTGGTTTACGTAATTTAAGGAAATCAAGGCAGTCTAGCTCAGGGCTTCTCAGATCTTAATTTGCACAGGGATGTCATGCAAATGCCGTTCAAACCAGGTTCTACTTCGAGCAGCCAGGTGATAACTGGGAGCCTGTGTTTCTCCAGCACCGGGAGGAGGCTGGATGGCTGCTCTATGACCACCGTTTGAGTAGCCAGGCTCTCCGTGTGCGGTGTCGGGGGTGAAGGGAGCAGGTTGGCCAGAGCGAGAGCTTTTCTTGGAGGGACTGAACCACAAACATGGGAGGGAAATGGCCCTATGCTGACTTGTCAGCTTGTAGTTTACCCTTTCTGGAGTACTCTAAAATAACCCCAGACACAAACAATGTTTTTACAGAGACAGAACTAGAGGCCCTCGCTCTGTCTCTTCCACCACCTGCTTCTTTTATTTTTTTGGTACTGGGAATCGAACTCAGGACCTTGTGCTTGCCAGGCAGGCGCTTATGCCTCTGAGCTATATCCCTGGCCCACACCACCTGCTTCTTGTGTATACAAAAGACCACTGAATGCACATCCTCAGGATGCTTCTCTGGTCCTCAGTTCTTTGGCAGTGCCCCTCATATCTCTGGCAGTATTGGGAAGAATGTGGTTAATGTAAAGATGCAAAAATAGCTAGCTTTGGGGGGCTGGGGATTTAGCTCAGCATCACAGCTCCTGCCCGGCAAGTGCAAGGCTGTGAGTTCGGTCCCCAGTACCAGGAAAAATACCAAAAAAAAAAGAAAAAAACCCAGCTTAGGAGGCAAGCCCTCTGTCTGTCCTGGTCATCTCTATTTGCATCTCCTAACAAAGCACTTGATACACAGTAAACACGAAGGCATGTCTGTTGGATGGGCCTGTGAATGAGGCTTGTGCAATGGCAGCTGCTCCCATCCAGGATCTGCCGTGATGCTTCCCTGGGCACAGCGCTCTCCAGAGGCGGCATTGTGGCCCAGCACTGGTGATGCTTGACACTTTCATGCTAGCAGTTTTTCTTTTCTACCCAGTGGCGCGGAAGGAAATTGTTCCTCTTGGACAATTGTTTCATTTTCAAATTTTTGAGCTTCTATTTATTATTTAGTTTTATTAGTAGGTGTTTGCAGTACATAACGATCACATTCATCGTGGGAAAAAGCTTCTTTGGTACAGCTGTCAAAAGTGACGGTAGTGAGTTCCCTTCTGGCGGTGGGTGTCCAGCGATGACTGTTAGTCTGGGGTGATGACAGCAAGGCCCTCACTGATCATCTTTCCTTATACCTGAGATTGTACTCCTCAAAGGGTGTCAAATTCATGAACTTCTGAGGTGTGTGAGTATAGAGATGGATGCACACAGACTGAGGACATTGTCTTGGAATTATTATTTTTTTCTTCAAAAGCAGGAGCAAAAGTTGGCTGGCATTAGCTCATTGATTTTTGTTGATAACAAATCCCCCAGTAAAGCTCTCCTGGGGATTAAAGTACTTCTGAAATTATAGGTGCCATACAGATGTAAAGAGATCATATCGTCATCTCTCATCCAAGACTGGGAAGCTAGAATCTGAAAGACACATGCATGTTAAAATCCCAGCCACCCACAGAAGTGTCTTTCTTCAAGATGTACAGCCTCACTGCAATCTCTCTCCCTCTGTAAAGACAAGACTTCCCTTACCTATCTGTCGTGCAAGTATGTGGAGAAGAAAGTTGAAGTAACGTGTTTACACATCACTTTGCAAACTGAAAAAGGGCCATTCAGATTCTGGCATTATATTTGTCCTTAGGGCACTGTGCTGCTGGCTCTGGCTTTAAAGAAAGCCTACATTAGTTGGCACATTTTAAAAGGTTGCAAGGGAAGAATTAGGTAGAAAGAAAAAGTAGTCCAAAGGAAATGGTAGATGTATTAGTGCAATTCAGCTGCTATAACAGAATCCTACAGACCAGGGAGTTTATAAACAAGAAAAGTTATTTCTTCTTACTTTGGGAGGCTGAAAAGTCCTGTATTTCTCATGTTCCAATCCCACATTGTATCCACCTTTGGATTTCTCTATATTGTGCACTTATCAGGGAAGTAATGTTCCTCTTGTTGTGATGTTTCTGGAGAGACTCAGGCTTGTGATCTGCTGTAGAAGTCATCTGGCCCCACCTAAGCAAAGTATAGCCCCATGCCCCTGTCCATGGCCCTCAGCCTGGCCTACAACAGAGCAGGGAGCAGGGAGTGTGGAACCTGGGTCAGCCTTCCTGAGTGCCTGGTGCCAAGGAGGTCATCGTTCGGGAGCTCAGCCTGTTCACAAACCAGACAGCTGTTGGACATGGCTGTACTGGGTGGGCCAAGACGTTTGCCATCTCCTGCTAAAGGCTGTCGGGAGGATGAGTGTTCCGGTTTGGTATGACAGAGGCAGTGACTCCTGGGGGACAAGAATAACAGTTTCTAGCAGGTAGCTCAGCTGGTGATGGACATAAATGGAGCAGAGCAATTCAGAGTCACTTTCACAAGAATGGATAGAAAGGCTGGTTCTGCAGAAAACAGCATGACCCATGCAAAACACAGCAACATGCTGTACTCTGCAGAGCTGGAGTCCCAGTCCCAAATGGCCACAGGGCCAGAGGAAAACCCATGAGAGCTAAGAAGCTGAGAACCTGCACGATAAAAACAAGAAGTGCTCATGGTAAATTTTAATCTGTCCTCACTTTCCGTCTTTATGTCTGTGGGGGTTTTCCTGCATTCACATTCACCTGTCCATTCTACCATGCTGACCAGGACTTGCCCTGGCCTCGCCTTCCCAGCTGGCTCGCTCAGAGGATCAGGTGCCCTGCTTTGGTGCTCCCAGGAGACCCTTGGCCATCATCTCCTTCATTAGATGTTTTCCAGTGGTAGCTGTAGCACATTAATGAGTCATGACAGTCAGTAGTAGTCAAGACCAGCACTTTAAAACAAGTGATGTGGAATTTTATTAAATTAATTAATTAATTAATTAATTTATTTATTTATTTTGGTCTTTTTGAGGCCGGGTCTCACTATGCAGTTCAGACTGGCCTTGAGCTCACTTTGTAGCCCAGGCTGGCCTGGAACTTGCAACAATCCTGCCTCAGCCTCCCGAGTGCTGGAATTATAGGCCTGTGCCACCAGGCCTGGCAATGTGGAATTTTCAAAAGGGAAGCACATAACTGTGACTACTGTTGTGTGAAATGCTCATTTTGGTTGTATGTCTTTGTGTGTGAGTGTGTGTGTGTACAGAAAGGTGATAGGAAATGTGTTTTATAATGTGGATCCCAGACAAAGCAATCAAAATCCAGGTCTAAACAGTGAGGTATTAAGGGGAGAGCTGCAGCTTCCTGGGATGGGTCAGACCATCTGAGGTTTACACATCAACTGCAGCATAGCTGGCTCCATACACTTCCTTTCCACCCCGTGCCAGCTGTGGAGCTCGTGACTGGAGATGCTGACAGGAGTCCTGCTCCTCCCTCCCCGACCCCACACTGCAGAGAAGTGCTGAGGCTTGAAGGCTGTCAGTCAGCTTTCTGGCCAGCCTGGGGGTACCCAGCCAGTCTGAAACTGCAGCTTATGTCAAGTCTGGATTGCATTCAGGTTACTACCAGAATGCCCTTTAATAAGATGTCAACTGAGGCACCATAAGACACACAGGCAGGTGAGGTCAGTCTCAGCCTGTGAGGGCTTAGCAAGGTGGGGCTAATTTGTGCACCAGTAACTACAGAGAGACACAGGGGACAAATGTAGTGAGTTGTGAAGGAAGAGAGAGTGGTGTGAAAAAGAGATAGCGGCAGGGAGAGAGAGAGTCTGCCTCTGTTGTGAGGAGCAGTCCAAGAAGGAAGGCGTCAGAGGACAGGAGACACCTGGCACCATGCCCAGAGGATCGGTTGTTAAGTCTTATAGGGAGCAGGGGGCGGGCAGACCTCCCTGCAGGCCCAGCCTCCCTGTCTGGCAGAGAAGATGGCTCTTCTCCCTGCAGCAGGTGTGCAGACAGGTTCCCATCACAGCCAGTTGTTCTGGGGAGATACTTGCACAGTTTCCTTGGCATCTACCGCCCACCCTGGTCACTCATGAGCATGCAGCGTGTGAACGGGAATGTTAACCACTGGTGTTCAGCAGCGCAAAGCAGCTCTTTACCCAGAACGTCTGCGAAGTCCATCTGGCAGGAATGTAGGCGGTGGTCTTTTGCACTCAGCCACACCCTTCTTCACCATTTTGTGCATCTGCTTCAGGGCCAGCTCACTCCCATGTGCGTTTCCCGTGTCTTTAAAGTGCTTGTGTTGTAACCCAGCGTGGTTGGGTGTGAGGATACTTGAGAACTACATTTTCTTTCGCTGGGTTGCAGTGGGACACATGGACATTCATGAGGACCGTGAGGGTAAGCAGGGCTGTCTCCTGCGTGTCACATCATCTTTTCTGCTGACTTAATCCACCTTGTGTGTCCAGAGGCAGTTCCCGCATGGTGGCCACTGAGGGAGAGGCCGGTGTTTGATGTGGACACCGACTCCATCTGGCTGTGTCTGTTTGCAGGGTCAGCATCACTCAGAGCCGCAGTTCCCACTCCTTGAACAAGCAGCTCATCATCAACATGGAGCCCCTGCAGCCCCTGCTTCCCTCCCCCATGGAGCAGGACGAGGAGCTTCCCCTGGGTGAGGGTAAGTTGGCCGCGTCACCCCAGCCCTGTGTTGTGGGCCACTAAGGGGCCAGTTCTCTCTCTACTGGGCACACGAGGGGCAGGAGCCAGAGTGAGGCATAAATTATGTTTGTAACAAATAAGCCTTTTTGTGTGTGCAGTTAGAAGGCTATATTATAGTGGGAGTTCTACTGGGTTCTTCCAGAAGGTTCACTTGTGCAAAGTATTTCTAAAATTCCATGCGACAGCAGCGGCGATGTTACAGCTGCGAACCACAGGTGGCTATTTAAAGCTAAGTTTAGATCGACATATATATATGTAAATAAATAAAGGGGTTCAAGAGATGCGGGGATGGGGAGGGCGGGGAGGGGGTTAAAAAGAATTAAGAAATGTAAATATGGCCAGTCCCCATGATGAATGTAATCCCATATTACAAACATATACCAGTAAAGTGTAAATATTTAAAGACACAAAATAAAAAATCATAAAAAGCTAAGTTTAAATTCATTAAAATTAAAAATCCAATTCCTCAAGCACACTAGCTAGATTTCCAGTGTTCAGTAGCCACATGTGGCAGATGGCTGCCATACTGGAATGTGAGACTAAAAACATCTCCATCATCACTGGACTCTTATTAGAAGGAGATATTTTTAACGATAGTCACAGTTGCATTGGTGGAATTACGAGGAATTCTTCACAAGTGCCTGTACACTGGTCATCCTCTTTCTGCCTCAGTAATTCTCCAACCTCTTCCTTTTCTGTGGGTCCCTTGTCTGACAGTTTTGATGCAGCCTAAAAAAATAGTATCCACTTTAACTCAAGAATTGTCATATTTTTAAAAGCCTGTGTGCTTATGGTATGCTTCTCCTCCCACTTCCTTCCCTCCCCTCCTTCTCTCCCTCCTTCCATCTCTCTTCCCTTCCTCCCCTTCTTTCCTCCTTCCTTCCCACCCTCTCATTTTTCTTTCTTTGTAAGAACTTTGCTTACTTTGGCGACTCTTACCACACTGTCTCCTGCTGACGCTTGGTGAGACAAATCTCACACCCTCATTGATTTAATAGTAAACGAAAAACAAAAATACACAAAATAAAGTTACTGGAACCCAGAATACAGGCATACCATTCTTTTCCTAAATCTTATGTGATCTTTTGGTTTCATCATGGAAGATCTGGATACCGGGCAGTTTCGAGAAGCTGGGTTTTCCCTTCTCTAAGGGATCACCTCCACTTCAGTGTCAGGGATTCCTTCCATAGGAGAAAACTTTTCAGTTCATAATAAAAATTGGAACTGACACACAGGCACCTGGAGAGAGACAGCAGCAGCCAGCTCGCATTGAGCTGTGAAGGGCTTTAGTAGATTTTTCCTGGGAAGTCACACAATCCCGTGTGTAGAGGGAAAGTGTGAAATATAGGGGTGGGTGTCTCTGAAGATAGCTTGCTCCTGTTCCCAGCTGGGCCGCAGGAGTGGTATTGTGAGTATAGCCTTATTATAATAAATACAGTTGTCTGTCCTAACAACTGTAAACTGTCTGTAAGTTTATTGCTAAATTAGTTTTCTTAGCCCAAAGGTCTCTTTATGTGTTTTTCAAGTAAAAGGAAAGTGGCTTTTGTTTCTGATCACTGATGCTTATGGGGCTTCATCTCACCTCCTAATTTGAGATTACATGGGAGGCAATGGGGAAATTCAGGCCTGCAGTTGACCTCACTGGAATTATACTCTAACTCCGGGGCTGTGTGGAGGATGGAGTCCAGGTGAGTGTGTGAGGGGCAGAGTCTCTCACTGCAGTGTTACTGACGCCTTAAAGTAGGCATTTCTTTGTCAGAGTGCTGTCCTGTGCACTAGGATGTGTAGTGGTATTACCGGCTTCTTAGGGCCTCACCAGTCCCCAGAAGGGAGAATGCCTCCAGAACTGGCGTGTATGCCTGGGGACTCAAATGGCTCTCTGGCTAAGAACTACTGGGTTGGAAGCAAAAAGACACAGAGAAGAAACAGACAAGGGCTGAAGTCAGAGAGAATGAGACTGGGAGGAGGCACGGGATTGAAGACTGCTTAGTGGTGGGACTGTTGAGAAGGGGCACGCACACCTCCTGTGGCCCGCTTCTGCGGGCTTAATTCAGATAGACAGCAGGAAAGAATATTACAGCCTGGATAAGTTAAGTCCCTTCCAACTTGAACATTCTAAATCCACAAATAAGGGTCAAGTTTCTCCCCCTTTTGAACTTCCATAGCATTTACCTTTCCACTTGGTTCTGATCAGCTTGTCACCTTTCTGTGCCTATGCACATGTAAAGAATAATGAAGTGGGCAGATAATCTTCCCTTCACTTAGAGGTGATGAGTAGGAACCTTCCACCTCTATTTCAAATCTGAGACTCAGGAGTCCCAGGAAGGTTTAGTGACTTTCAGCATCACCAAAGAGCCATGGCAAGTGATTCCATTTAGATATTGGAGCCATGTCAAGAGCCAGAGGTGTGCACTGCTTTTCTGAACGTCAGACATGAGTGGAGGAGGGAGCTTTCTATGTCTCTGCCCACCTTTAGTGTTGTCCTCATCTCTACATCATGGATCAAATTCTTGTTTGGGGGGTTTTCAAATCACACATTTTGAAATTGGATTCAAATACAGATCAAGATCAGCAGCGCAAGTCCTGTTAGGAGATTTGTCTCCTGAGGAGTTGTTTAAAAATCAGTTTGACTTTTGGAAGCTCCATCTCTGTGAGATCACGGGAGGTCTGGGCATATGTCTTGGATGGGCCCCTAGGTGGTAGTAACCCCGTCACCATGGCTCTCTGAGATCACAATCACCTATTTGTCTGACAAGCTGTTTTCATTCATCTGAGAAGCTCAAGTGTCACAAAGACAACTGGGCAGAGTATTATTGCCCAGATTAACCCACTGGCCTTTGGGGAGAACATGTGACCCTACTCACCCTAAGGACAGCTGAGGGATTAGTGCTGAAGTGGCCTGTGTCTGGGTGAAATAAAAACAGAATCAGTTCCTAGGCACTGCTCAGCAACAGGAATATTTTCTGTGCTCAGCCAGAAGTTGCTCAGTTACTGTGTCCAGGGGAATTAGCACGGGGGAAAAAGTTCAGAAAAGAAAGGCAAGACATTTGCACAGTGCCACTTCAGAATTTCAGAATTTCTGACTTTTGGGAATTTCAGAAGAGGAAAAGAGTGAGAGTGGGAGTGGTTTTGGAGGAAAGCATCATTTTAAAGAGTCGTTAATTTGAATAACATGTAAGCAGAGGAAGCTCTCCATAGTGCAGATAGCAGCATCCTTGTGCATTTTATTGGTGAAGTAGATTTCTCATTATACAAGAAAGCTGAACGGTGGTAGAGAAGAGCAATGAAATTAATCACTTGAGACCTGGTGGCTTGCAAGTGCTGATGTCTAATGAAAACCATTCTTGTCTGCCATAGCAAACATACAGGCTGGCATAATTAAACGTGATGGGAAAGCCACTCTCCACCCCAGCATGAGGTGGAGTTGGAAACATTTGACGTTCCTCTGCTGGCTGAATGAAGCGCAGTGGAGACTCCAGCTTTTCCATAATGGGGGCCTTGGGGTGCAATCGTGATGGAGTGAGTAGAGGTCTCATGCTGACAAAGACAGTGTCTATATCAAAGAATAGATGGGAATTTTAGAAAGTGGTAAAGCTAATGGCCCCCAGCACACTGTCTCTCTCTCTCTCTCTGTGTGTGTGTGTGTGTGTGTGTGTGTGTGTGTGTGTGTGTATAAAGGTGTTTAACAGGTTGCTTAGAGTGCATAGCACTAGCTATAGATGACTGGCTGTATTGCAACTCTGGCTAGATTGTGTGTGGTCGTGTGAAGGCATCTGAGCATGCACAGACAGTACCGTTCTTGACGTGAGGAATGCGATACGCTTGGTCCATCCAACCTCCTCCCTCCCCTAACAGGTGACGGATGGGCCCCGCTGCACTGCCTGCCGAGCTTCCATCCTCGCCTGGCAGCACTTTTCATGGGCTGTGCAGTTGCTCCAATCCTACCCAGCACTGCAGCTGTTGGTCTCTTTTCTCTTTGTCCACTCACTCTGGTGTCCTCCCTGCCAGTCCGACAGAACGTTCTCCTTCCTTCCCCCCTTGCTGGAGTTCCATGGGCAGATCTGTCCTCTTCTCAGCATTTGAATGTCTCCTCCCTACACTATCTACCTCCCCCTTGTGCTAGGCCCCTGCTTCCCCTGGCCTGCGGGTGCACATGAGTGACGAGGCACTGGCCTTTCATGTTATTCCATGACGTGAACACAGTAGGGACTGTTTATAAAACCCGAAGACCCCTGTTCTCCTCTCGGTTACTGTGACCGGGAGATGATGTGCTTCATTTACACCTGTCCCCCACAGGGTTCTGATTTGTTTATTTTCTCCTCATCTAAAAATTCTAGAAAGTTACAAAAAAGCATACATAAGCAGAAGAAAGTCACTTCCAGATTGTCACCCTCCTGGAAGCAGTCAGTGTGAACACCTTTGCAACTTCCTTCCCCATGCATTTTAATGTGGTGGTGATCATCTTGTGGGTACAATTTAAAAATTCCTACTTTGTTCGGTTACTCTTGAAGACTGTAGTGCATGAAGATATGTCAGAGGTAACTCTAGGTCAGACAGTGAATTAAGAATACATTTGGCACGGATGCAGACAAATGGGTTAATACCCTCAAGTAGAAGGTACTTGCTCAGAGCACAGTTCTAAGCATGACTTTGGCACTGCTGGTGCTGGGCCAGCCCAGCTTTCCCAGCTAAAGGCAGCCCAGGAGTCTGCTGCTGACAGCTCCACGGCAGCAGAACTTACCTCTGTAGTGGCTCTTATTTAGCAAAACTCAAACTCAAGTCATGGTCACACCTACTGAATTCTAGGATGAAGGACCATGGTTCGGGCCAGCAGCTCCCCTAGGCAGGAGATGGCAAGTGTAGCTCAGGAGACAAGGTAGCGGCCCAAGCAGGTGCTGCAGAGTTACATTCTGTAGTCTCTTCAAAAGCCACTTGTCTCCCTGTGTAAGCTTTTCCTTG